CATGTCTGTGTGTGTGTGGCGGGGTGTGTATGGTATGTGTGTGCGTGTGTGTGTGTGCGGTATGTGTGGGGGGACAGGGTGTGTATGGTGTGTGTGTGCGTGTATGTGTGTGTGTGGCGGGTGTGTACGGGGTGTGTGTGTGTGTGTGGCGGGTGTGTACGGGGTGTGTGTGTGTGTGTGGCGGGGTGTGTATGGTGTGTGCATGCATGCGTGCGTGTGTGCGCGCGCGTGCACGTGCATCCCTGGGAATTGCAAGCATTCCTGAGGGTGGAGAAGCAGCAGGCAGGCACTTGGACCTTGTGTTAAACACACTCAGAGAGGCTGGCCCTGGCCTGTGTGTAGCTTGCTGAAGGGAGAAAAAGAGAGAAAGTGGAGGAATCTCTGAACTAGTCCAGGCCTGGAAGGGTCAAGACCACATCCTTCGAATCTCCACAGGATGTTCCTAAGATTTGTGAATTTATTTCCATGAAAGTCATTGCAAAGATAAACAAATTTAATCACTCAGTTGTACATTTAATGAACTGTCACGTTTTGGAAATGATTGCAAATTACATATAAAAGGAGACAATTCAGAGAAAAATCAGGGAGGCAATGATTAAACATTTAAAATGCAGACTGCCTTGGCAAAGCTAGGTTGTAAGGTCGGCATGCCTCCAGAGAAAGAACCTGCCAAGTCTAGTGTTACCCAAACAGCCATTTGTGCATTGGGCTCACCTGTATTGCATATTTAGCATGTTCCAGGAGCTATACTGAGAACCTTCCATGAGACACTCACAGCCACCCAATGCTAGAGTTGCAGCTACCATTCCCATTTAGAAATGCATGGGAGAGTTTAGGCGACTGGCTCAGGATGGCACAGTTAGGAGGTGGTGTAAAAATTCCCCTGAGTAGCAGCTCTGCCCTGGGTCTTGGAGATCCAGAGATGAACAAAGTAGGGCCCCAGACCTTGAGAAGCATGCAGCCTAATCAGCCATCGTGTTATAAATGTCAGGAGCCAGAGGCCATCCCTTCTAGTGATGTCAAATGCCTTTTAAGTGAAGGACACTTTCTCCTTGAAATCTCACGTGAGACGCTATCATGCAAAACAGATGAAAAAGGGAACCTGTTTCTGGCTAAAGCCGAGAGGGAGATGGCTCTTCCTCTCTCGCCATTTTCATTCTTAAAATACCTAGAAGCAGGGCATACCAACCAACTTAAAACTGCTGATCCAGATGCCCCATTTCACAGGTGGGAACACTAAGGCCCAGAGAGGGGAACGAATCGCCCAGATGGCTGAGACTCGAACGTGGGCCTGTGGACTCCGGGTTCAGGGATCTTTGCCGGGCATTAGTGCTCCTAGGATGCTGTGCAAATGCTCACCCTAGGTGTCCTGTGTATAGCGATTGGGGTGTGGAACCTGGGTGGTGCAGCACTAGACACACTTTGGTGAATTGGGGGCTTTTAGGCCAATTCAACTTTTTTTCTCCAGATGCTAGAGAAAGTGAACCCTAAGAGCTTCTTAGGGAAAGGTGAGAATTTTCAGAAGAACCACTTCTAGCTGCCCAAATTCCAGAGATATTGAAAGCACCCTGGCCTGGGAGTCAGGAGGTCTGGGTCCAATGCCCAGCTCATAACCATGATGAAAATCTAGTCTTTGTTTCTTCCTCAGTTTCCCCATTGTCAAAATGAAGTGGTTGGATTACAGTGAGTTCTCCATAAGGTTCCTTCCCGAATCTTTCCAGAACTTTCAGGCCAGGCCACTTCTGGGTTTCTGCCAACCTAGACTCCAGTGGGTCGACTCTGGCCTTCCCCGCTCCTTCTCCCTCCTGAGGACTGCCCAGCCATCCACAGCCCCACTGCCTGCTCCATGGTTCCTTCCCAGCTTCTCCCCTCCCGAGCCCCCCTCCTCGGTGGAGCCTTCACTTTCTGAGTTTCCTGGTAAGCCGCAACCTTGGTGCCTTACTTGCTTTCATCAAACAGCCGAAGGGATTCTATGGGCCATTTGCCCAAGCCTCCATTTTACAGATGGAAGCCCTGAGGCCAGAGAAGGGAGGGTTTTCCCAAGATTACTTGTGAAAGGGAGGTGAGCTCTTCCTGCAACCCCAATCGGCCTTCCTTCGTCCAGGACTAAATTCTTGGAGCGCCTAACTTTAAAGGAAAAGCAATTTTTTGACCTAATATATTAGGTTGGTACAAAAGTAATTGTGGTATTCCTATTACATTCAATGGCAAAAAACACAATTACTTTTTTTTTTTTTTTTTTTTTTTTAAGATAGAGTGTCGCTCTGTCACCAGGCCGGAGTGCAGTGGTGCAATCTCAGCTCACTGCAACCTCTGCCTCCCAGGTTCAAGCGGTTCTCCTGCCTCAGCCTCCCGAGTAGCTGAATACAGGCATGCATCAGCACGCCTAGCTAATTTTTATATTTTTAGTAGAGGTGGGGTTTCACCATGTTGGCCAGAATGGTCTCGATTTCATGACCTTGTGATCCACTCACCTCAGTCTCCCAAAGTGCTGGGATTACAGGCATGAGCCGCCATGCCCGGCCCACTATTACTTTTGCACCAATATTTATGTTTCCCAATTGAGAGGACATCAGAGATGTTCAAGGAGATGAAAATCACTGGCGGTAATCCAAGGGCCTCCAATACCCTAACTGATCTGGTGAGCAGTGGGGTTGGAGCGGGTCCCTTCCCAGTTCTCTTTGAACCCTCTTGAAGAATTTGTTGCTAATGTGTCTTTAACAGCTTTCTAGCATTTGCTTATCTCCCTTTCAAAGAGAAAGTGGAGCCTGGGCCTCAGCACCTTCCTCAGGCAACAGTATCTTGTTAGACTGTATTATGATTATTCTTGTGGTTAAAGATACATTGTTAGAATTTAATAACACTTTTATTTTCATTGTATTTATTTTAATGGTTACCTTCTATTTATAGTAATGTGATGCTGGCCTTCCATTTATGGTAGTAACTTAAGAGATCTTTTTAAAAACAAGCCCACTTAAGTAAATCAAAAAATGACAAAAGCAGAGTTGATTTAGAGAAGGCTATTCGGATGTCCTTAGCTGGTGCACAGATAGGGTCAGGTTCTCCACGGAGGCTGGAGAGAGGCGGAGGTCCGGGAAACTGACTTGGAGCTGGAGTTACAGACCCAGCTGCTTGTCTGAGTGGTTCAGAGGATCTGCAGGCTCTTCCCTATGCTCTGCCCACTTCTGCCATACCCCAGATCCTTAGAGGCTCAATCCCTTCCTCTGGCTGTCTCTGGTCTCCACTTCCCAAGCTCCAGCACCCTTGCTGTCGGCTTCCCGTTTTTCTTCTTTAAAGGTATTTGGGCCTCGTGTCCAAGGAGGCCCACTCGGGGCCTCTCCTGGCAGCATCCCCAAGTGCAGGGCCTGTGTGGTTCTCAGTGAGAGGGAGTCAGCCTCCACCCTCCATTCTGTTTTGGCAGCTGAAGGGTGAACATGGAGGCCTTCCCCTGGTCTTCCACTTACAGAAATTCCACCATTAGACATTTCCTCCCCATCGGTCCCTTCGAAGCCACGGATCCAGGACTTTTTCTTCCAGCGATCTGCCTACTCTGAGTCCTGGCGACTCCGTGAAGTTCTTGAAAGGACCAGACATCCCTAAAGTCCTTACAGGGACATATCCGGTTCCTGGAATGTGGGCAAGGAAAGGCAGCCACTTCTGCTTCTCCAAACCCTGGCTGGTGGCTGGGCGAACTGGCTACGCCTGTCATCCCAGCATTTTGGGAAGCTGAGGTGGGAGGATCACTTGAAGCCAGGAGTTGGAGATCAGCCTGGGGAACATGGTAAGACCCCAGCTCTACAAAAACACAAGCACAAAAACGACAGAAAACACTAGCCAGGCATGACGGGGCATGCCTGTGGTCCCAGCTACTTGGGAGGCTGAGGTGGGAGGATTGGCTTGCTTAAGCCCAGGAGGTGGAGGCTACAGGGAGCCGTGCTTACCCCCCTCCCCCTGTACTCCAGCCTGGGCAACAGAGCGAGGCCTTGTCTCAAAAACAAAATAAAACAAAAAAGGACGCCCCAAACTCTGCCCTGTGGCCTGACCACCAACATTTATATACAAGACAGGAGCAGGGTCAACTCCTTCCTGTCAGTCACTCCTTAGTGAGAATCAGTCGGCCAAGGGCCTGGTGCAGAGCTGGAGTGAATTCTAGGGCCCACGGGGATGGGGTGTGGAAGCTTCAAGCTGGGGCTCAAAACAGAGTTGCCGTGGGAAGAGGAGTGGGCAGCCCGAGGCCCGGTCCTCAAGGCAGTCACCGAACGCTTTCACCTGGGCTGTCGGCTGCGATCTGCTGGATTGCCCGTTTTGTCTGGGGCAGGGCCGGGTAGCTGTTTTAACGGAAGCTCAGAGGTTAAAAGTCCCAGTGAAGTCAGTTCAGGGTCTGGGAGGGGGTGCGACTGTGGCAGCAGCACAGAGAAGAAAATATAAGCTCTCCAGCCCCCTGATAACTTCAGCTCTGAGGTTGGAGACACAGATCTGGCCCCTAGCAATCAAGTCATTTGCATCTGACCTGCGTTCAGGCCCCCTCTCTTATCCGCAAATCAAAGGAGGGTGAGTTCCCCAGGCTTTCCACGGGTACTCCCGGGGGCAACGTGAAGCCCAGGAACCCAGTCCGGCCCGAGGATCCCACCCCAAGCCCAGCGGTCAGGCCTCGGGGACAGCTGAAAATTCCCCGGGAATAAACACTCAGGGTCCAGCGTGCCCCTCCCCACTCCCGCGACGATCTTCCGAATTCAGACGCCGCGAGGGCCGGCAAGCAGAGCGGGAGGTGGTCGGGGGTGGAGGAAGGGAAGATGGGCAGAGGGCGGGCCCAGGGACCCCCAGACAGGGCGTGGACGCGGAGGCCCAGGCCGGCGGGAGGCGAGGGGCAGCCCGCGCTGGAGACTCGCGTCTCTGCGGCGGCGGCGGCGGGAGCCGGGAGGGGCGGAGGTTTGGGGAGGGGGAGGGAGCGCGGGGGAGGGGAGGGACGGACGGCGGCGGAGGTGGGGCCGGCGGGCTGGCGGGCGGGCAGCTGCCGCCGGCGTCGCGGGGCTCCAGGCTGCGGGGCGGACGCAACGCCGAGCGATCCACCGCGGAGCCGCGCGAGGCCGCCCGAGCCACGGCCCCGGCCCCGAGCCCCGACCGAAAGCCTCTGCCTCGTGCCGCGGGTCTCCGGACGCGCCGCCGCCGCCGGGAAGGCACCCGGCGCCGGGCAAGTTGCGAGCGCGCCCCTCCGTCCGGGAAAGTTTCCCCCCGGCCGCCGGCGGGAGTTGGCGCGGGGTCCGGCCGCCTTCGCTGGAAGGTAGGGGGCTCCGCACCTCTGCGCCCTCCCCACGCCGCCGCCGCGCCCCCGGGGACCTGGGGATCTCCCGCGCTCCGGCCCGGGGGTGCTGCTGGACGCGGCGGGAGAGTGGGGTGGAGCGGGGGTCCCAGGACGGTCCGGGGAAGCCCAGCAACCAAGTTCCACTCAAACTAGCAGCGGGGGCTGGGGGGGCCGGGGGCGGGCTCGCCCGGTGCCTGCCTGGGGTCCGCCGAGGGCCGGGGCTGCGCCCAGGACAGGTGCAGAGCCGGTGGGCGCCCCACGCTCCGGGCGGGGGAGTGGGGGCTTCTGGAGAAAGGCGCGGGGTGGCAGGTGTGGTTGCGAGGTTCGGGGTTTCGGCCAGGGCTGCGCCCGGAAAGGGGCTGCGCGCCACGCCACCCGGTAGCAGGGCAGGGAGGGACCAGGGACCCGGAGCGGCGATCCCGGCCGGGAGGGCTGCGGGGACCGGCAGCGGCAAGGAGGGCGGGCCGCCTTTGGGGTCCCCGGCCGCGGGGCGGGGCGGTGGCGCCACGCGTTCCTCCAGGATGCCCCTTATTCCTTAGGCGTGTGCGGTTTGGGGAAGCGGAGACTCCGTGGGGTGCGGGGTGGGTGGGAGGCTCGGGCACGTCCGGATTTAGGAGGCAGTGGGAGCCGGTTGGGAGGGTGCTCGGCTCGGGTGGGATCGCGCCGGCTCCGGGTCCTGCTGGAGCGAGGTGAGTGGGCTCCCGCCAGGGGGCGCCCTGCCCCGGCCCTCGCCCGCAGGAAGCGCGTCCTGGCCCCCGCGAGGAAACTGCGCCGACCTCCAGGACGCGGGGGCCGCCCGAGGAGCCCGCCCTGCACGGGCCAGGCGGGGGAGGCGGAGGGCGCCCAGTGCGACCTGCGCCGTGGGCTGGCAAGGCCGGGAGTCGGGACGTGAGCTTGCGTGGGGAGGCTGGCAGGGCAAGTGGCTGAATAGGACATTTGCCCCCAGGAAAAGACGTAAGAAACGGCAAGGGCGGGTCGGTGCGGAGAGAGTGCGGTGGGGAATTAACTTTTTGAAGTTTCTTGGAGTTACAGAAACCCAAACCCCAAAATGCTCGCACCCTTTTTGCAAAAGTTGCACCTTTGTTCCTTGGATCTGGCCGAATGTCTGGTGAAGGCCGGATGGGGGTCCTGGGGTATCCTCTCTCTGGGCCCGAGTAAACTGGGAGGCGCGGGGTGGGAGGTGGGCGATGGGGCCTTAAAGACTTTAGCAGTCCAGGCCGAAGTGTTCAATTTCTCAGCAGTCAACGAGCCCTGACCCCCACCCTCACCCCCTGGGTCTGGGTCTCTAGGCCACATTCTTGTCATTTGACAGTTATGGTGGAAATCTGCCTGGGTCCCAGTTGTCTGGCCTCAGGGTCCCTGTATGTTGAGTCTGTGTGGCTGTGCCTTGGGGAGTCGACGGCTGCTGGCATCTGTGAGGAGTGTCATCTTTGTCATGTGCGGGGCTAACGTTGAAGGGACACTGGAGGGGCTATTGCCTCATCTTTCCAGCTCCTTCCCTCCTTCCCTCACCCCAAGTGAGTGTAAATGAGCAAATCCTGGAACCACGGTGGCCTCGCTGTGGTTGGCAGAAGTTTTCACCTTTCCCTTGGCTGGTGACCTGTGCTCCTTGGGCTCCCGTGTCTTTAATGTCCCTTACAAAGGTGGGGGAAATGGGGGTCCCCGAAAGACGTGAGGTTCCTCTGTTCGGTGTAGTCCGCCACGTGTTTTTGTTGCATGCTACTGAAATGCTCCAGGACAAAGTTGTCCTAGAAAAGATCTGCTAGATTTTTATTTTGAATAGAAGAGGAGGAGGAGCGAGGAGAGTAGGGAAAGGGTGGAGACGCCCGCTGTCTCTGGATAGGTCTTTAAGACATTCCAGGGGGCTGGAAGACAAAAGCAGCTTTTTTTTGTTGTGTTTTGCCTTTTCTGTGGAGGGAAGCTGCGGGACCAGCCCTGCCTTGGAACCTGCCTGGGAGCGTGGGGCCCCCAGAAGGCTGGCGTTTCCCAAGTTCTGTCCCTCCCTTCTTCTCCCCACCCCCACCCCACTTTTCTTGAATTGCAGAGGGAATTGAGGCTCCCCAAGGGCTTCTAAAGTTCATGTTGGGGCTTAAAGCATCGACTGGGTCTTCTCCCAGGTGAACTCCAAGATCACTGATGTAAACATGGCAAGTCTTGGGCACTCTGTTTCCTTGTCTCTCTTGTCCCCAAACCCATTCAAATGGCCGGGGTATGTGATGCGCTTACCCCAGGCTGAAATGGCAGCCTATCATTGAAGGCTCCAGGAAGCTTTCTAGAAGCGGAAGTTAGTTGGGTTTAGAACACCCTGGGCTGAGTCGCGGAAGGAACCCTCTGCCCTTTAGAAAATGAGATTTTAATGGTCTGAGGGGTGCATTGGAGGAGAGGGTGCTGGGTAGGGACAAGGGATTAATTCAAGAATTTGTGGGAGGGGGTGCCAGGAAGAGGGAAAACAGCAGATTTGAAATCGAGCTCTTCTGAGTCATCCATGTGGCCTTGGGTAAGTGATTTCCTCTCTGGAGCCTGCTTCCTCAGTCTGTAAAATGAGTATGTTGGCTGAGGAGATTCTGAGCAATCTTGCAACTTAGAGCAGCAGAGTCTAACCTTATACAGGGCTGGGCAGCCCTGCTCCCTTCCCTCCACCTTCCATTCAGTGGAAGGTGCCTCTCCTGGCTGGCTTGCCTTCCTGTCTGCCTGTATACAGCAAAATCCTGCATTGAGTGAACCCAGCAGATCCAGAAACAGCTCCTGTCATCAGAGCTGAAGGACAAAGTGCCCAGCAGTTTTGGGTAGAAAGGAGAATATTTGTAACCAGTTCCCCCCGCCCCCACCCCCGTCAGTCTGCAAGTTTGCTTCCTGCTCTTCCCTGAGAAGAGTCCTTTCAGTTCCTGGGTTGCAGGTTTTAGGGACCTCTCCCTTTCCAGAGGGCTGCTCTTTTGGCTGGATTCATCAGTCATTGAGAGGGAAAATCAGGAACATTTGTTCATGCTCAGCTGGGGTGCAGCACAGGGAGGGGGCCTTGGAAACCAGTGATCCGGTCCCATGGAGCAGATGACGCCCATTGATCAGGCATTTCCACCACCTGATGCCATGGAGCAAATGCACCAGCCTGGGCTCCTCCTGCCACCAGGGCTGGCACCTTGGACCTGCATGCGCACTCCATATGGGGGAGTGGGGGTGGATCGTGAGACAGTTTTTATGAAGAGTGGGAGAGGAGCAGGTGAGCCTGTGTTTGCAGCTGGCAGGGCTGATCTTTCATCTAGGCACTTGTTGTCTTAAGATCCAGCCCTTGGCCTTGGTCTGCACCTGAGACGGCTGGCTTAATTAGTGAATTCAACAACTCAGAGATGAGCAAAATTATGTTGACTGGTCGTGGGCAAGTGTGTACAAAAGGCGACAGGATGGGGCAGAAAGGTAGCTGAACCGGGCCTTAGACCTGTGTCCCAGCCCTGATTCTGTTACAGATGGAGCCTTGTGGCCTTGTGTGAGTCACAGCCCCTCTCTGAGCCTCAGTTTCCTATTTCTTTAGAGGCAGCAGTGCATGGTGGTTAGACTGCCTGGATTTGCATGCTGGCTTTATCCTTCTTATCAGGTGGGTGACCTTAGACCATTCAACCCCTGGTGCCTCCGTTTCCTGATTTGTAAAATGGAACTAGTAAGACCCCATTGGATGGTTGTGGATAGTCTTTGAGATAAAACTGGTAGAACATTTAGCATAATGCCTGGCGTATAGTAGTAAGTGCTCAATAAACGTTCACTATCATCATTGTCATGATTATCGTTATTACTATTATTGTAAAAAGGGAGGGATTAACTTGGGTCCTTTCTAGTTTTCTGGGGCTTAGATTGTGTGTGTGTGTGTGTGTGTGTGTGTGTGTGTGTGTGAGAGAGAGAGAGAGAGAGAGACACAGAGAGAGAGAGAGAGAGAGAGAATATATCTGTCTTTGGGGTAGAAGGCAAGGGTGAATAAGTTGCTGTTTTGGTTATTTTCTTCCTTTCCCTGACTCGTTGAGGGACTCCTGAATCTTGTGACCATGCTTATGGTAGCCCCGTCCCCATGGCAAGAAGCCCAAATTGACGTCACTGACAATATCCTGGTTCCTGGCAGTTGAGGGATGATATTTCATCAGCTAGCATTTGCCCATCCTTTCCCTTCCACTCTTTGTTTCCCACCCTTTGCCATGGTATGAAAACCATATGTGCAGATAATGAGTTTAAGCTGATCAGCCTCTCCTAGCATCACCCAAGTAAGAGGCCGCCTTCCTAGAAGACACTTTTGACTTTAAGATAAACAATCTGGTTCTTCTGTTGTGTTGTTTTATGTCTGGCTGGCCCTGCACCCTTTTTATGTTCTGCCCATGGTCTGCTGCAAGGACGTGGGCTGGGCCAGGTCTGTGGTCTACAGCCTTGGACCTTATTGGCCATGCTGACTGGGGAAGCCTCTTCCAGCAGCTTGGGAGGGGACAGGCCAGGCCGGGCCTCTGTCTCATCTTGTTCCAGCAAGGCTGCTGCTCTGAGATACCCCAGAGATGATTATCATGGGGGCAGACACTTGGGGAATGCTCCCTGTCTGCTGCGAGCTTGACAATACTTCATCCTGTCTCCACCTACAAGGATGGTTTAGATATTGCCCCCATCCTGTAGATTAGAGAGCGAAGGCTCAGAAAGGATTGAGAGTGAGTGGTGGGATTGGGATTTGATCCTAGGCTGATCCGATTCTCCTTCCCATGTGCTAAACCACTGTATTATATTTCCTCTTGTATCAAAACCTCCTGTGAGCCACAAAAGCCCCAGGAAAGATGTTACTTAGATTGGGTCTGGTCCCCTCCTCCGCCTTTGATCATCTTCCAGGCTCTGAGCACCTTATGAAATTCTGTGTTTGTCCTGCATGGATTACTCAGCCATCCTGGGGACAGTGAGGAAGAGAGTTTTTTGGGACATGGCTGATTACAGGGGGTTAGGGGAAGAATGATTTTATTAGG